ATTTTGAAACAATTTAAACAGTAGTTGTTGTAACCTTTACATTGTAATATCAATTTACTTTGATATTAACTTTGTCTGAGATATATTTGTTAATATGGTTTAATAACTTTAGTTTTATATTTAGTGTATATAAAAATGAGTTCAGGAGGAAAAGAAAACCTACATCATAAATATAAAGTTAGCAACAAAAAAACTTTTCTAGAAAAAAGCATAGAAAATGGAACTGTGTTATACCAAATAGAGTATCTTGTAAGACCTCAAATTTTATTCAGCGCTCTTGTTCTAGCGAACAAAAGTTATATTCTTCCAGCATTAAAAACAATAATCCAATGCTTCAGATTGTTTCATCTTTATTAATTTTCCTGTGTTAGAAAATATTGTTTAGTCTCTTTCATGTCCAGATTGTTTCTGCAACATTAAGGTTATTGATTATCATAATATAAAAAAAGGACTTTCACATAACTTGTTACTACAATGTTGCAATGAAAACTTTTCTTAAACATTACTATACCTCTCCAGAAATTAAAAAATGTAATATGAGCTCCCCTAATATGAAAATTGTGGTTACGGCTACGATATATATATATATATATATATATATATATATATATATATATATATATATATATATATATATATTTGAGGAAAAAAGTTAAGGAACGGCCCTCATTGCCTAGGTCTAGGAAAAGAGGCCCGTACCCTAACTTATATAGAGTTTACAACTTTTTAGAAAAAAAGAAAAAAACTCTCAAATATATATTTTTTTAAATAAGTTAACATTTTTTTTAATTTTCAAATTTTTTTAAATTAGCAACTACCGACCCATTTCTATCTCACCTATATTTTCAACTACCGACCCATTTCTATCTCACCTATATATATATATATATATATATATATATATATATATATATATATATATATATATATATATATATATATATATATATATATATATATATATATATATATATATATATATATATATATATATATATATATATATATATATATATATAAATTAGTAGAAAATCACTTAGCAAAATTTTTTCTCATTTAACACTGTGTTTCATATATGTATATATATATATATATATATATATATATATATATATATATATATATATATATATATATATATATATATATATATATATATATATATATATATGTCCAATACTGTAACAACTAATTTGGCTTTAAAAAACACAACTCCACGGAACTTGCAATCGTTCAATTTGTACGCAAAATTTCAAAATCCTTTGGAATTTCCCAATACACACTAGTTATCTTTATTGACCTACTCAAGGCTTTTGATACAGTAGATCACACTATCTTATTGCATAAGCTTAAATATTATGGTATAAACGAAAAAACTATAAAGTGGTTTGAAAGTTACTTATCAAACCGTAAACAATTTGTTTCTTGTAAGGATGATTATCAAAAAAAATTATTAGATCTTGTGGTGTTCTTGTGGTGTTCTTGTGATGTTCTTGTGGTGTTCTTGTGGTGTTCTTCAAGGCTCTATATTGTTCCTCTTATTCTTGATTTAAATTAATGACTTAAATAAAGTTTCAAATCTACTTAGCATTATGTTCTTTGATGATACTATAGTATTATCAGTGAACATAATGCTAAGTAGAAGTAGATAGATGCTAAGTAGTACTAACCTATTCCTTTCTAATACTGACATCTGCAAACTGTTTTGTAATATGAATGACGTTGAAGTGTAACAAATTAACTCTTAATACTAATAAAAAAAAAATAGATCATTTTCCACCCGCTTCAAAAAACGTCACCTACCCATAAATCTGCCTAAAATAATCATTAACCAAACTGAGATTAAGAGGGCATCTGTCAAAAAGTTTTTAGGAGTCTACCTTGATGAGCACATTACATGGAAACAGCATACTGATTACGTATCTACAAAGATTTCTGAAAATTTTGAAATTTTATATAAATCTAGAGATTATCTAAATAAAAAGAGCTTGACCCAACTCTATCACACTTTTATTCATAATTATATAAATTATGCAAATATTGCTTGGGGAAGTGCTGGAAAGAATAAGTTGACTTTCCGATAGATTTACTCATTCCAAACCTTTATTTAACATTTCTTTATTATGCTATCTTTCTTTATTTTCTAACGATATCTTTATTTTTATTTAATTTAAATTAATGTAAGATAGCTTTTTATTTTACATATATTTGTATAAAGATTGTAATAAAGAGAGAGAAAAAAAAAAAAAAAAGATAAAAAAAAAAAAGTTTTTGCTGCAGGAAACAAATTTAGCAAGTTTATTGGGACTAGACAAATGCTGTCAGAGTTTCAACAAATCTGAAAGATAAAATAAAATCAAGCAAAACAAAAAAAGATTCAAAAAAGTGGAGTTCCCTGGTTGGCTCTAAAAACAATTTTAACATATAAGTTTATCAAATTTGCACAAATGCTAAAAGTTTTAGAGCTCTAGCTAGTCTGGAAAGTAATGAAATATTTTAAATCACTATTTTAATGAATAAGATTTTATTTTTGTAATTTTCATTTTGCGTGTCGGACACCAACGCAACAAAAAAAAGGTTATTAGGACGCCCACAACTTATAGTAGAAGATTGACCGCCTCTCCTTATAATCTTTTTTCAAATAGGTTAAACGCAATAAGGTTATATCTGATAAACACTTCTTTTATCATATAGATTATATCAGATAGTTTAAATGACTTATAATTTTTTGAAAACTATTTTAGCTGTTGATGTCTTTGCGGATACCAAAAATGTTATATTGCGTTATATTACCACACAATGTATTTTATTGAAAAGGCAAATACAAATAAAAAAACTGGAGAAAAAGATATTTGCATGTATGGGTAGCATCCAGTAACGTAGTAAAAAATTATGCGCCCTCCTCTCCCCGCCAAAATTTCATAATGGCCACTAACTTATTTCTGCTCAACAAAAAAATGAAATAAAAAATCAATGCATTATTTAGGAATCCCTAATAATACTATGGCTCTCATGCAGCAGGAAGCCCGCCTCTACTTTACTTGTATACTAATTTGGTTACTATATTTGCCCCTATTTATAATAGAATCACCCTTCTTGATATACCGTAAACTGGGGTTTACGGCAGGCGACTGTTTTTTTTACGGCTCCGCTCCTAAGAAATATCCGGCTTCCGGCTCGGCTCCGCCTCCCGAACTTTATGAACAAAAATCGCAAGTTTTGGAAATTTTTTTGAATACATTTGCCGATTCATAGCTATACTAACTACAGCAATTAATTTTTAACCAACTCTCATGATTACTGAACTCTCATAATTACTGAACTCCCATGATTACTGAACTCTCATGATTACTGAACTCTCATGATTACTGAACTCTCATGATTACTGAACTCTCATGATTACTGAACTCTCATGATTACTGAACTCTCATGATTACTGAACTCTCATGATTACTGAACTCTCATGATTACACGGTTATTGTATTACTATTACTACTCTATTCAACTACCGGATATTACCTTTGAAAAGAAAAATGTTTTGGGTAAACAAACACTTTTTTCTATATATAATTTACCCCAAACTAGAGTTTTTAGTCGGTATTTTAATTCTAATTCTACCCAAGGGGCTCGTACCTAAAAAAGACGTCTTTTGAAAGTCTCAAAGACGTCCAAAACGTTCAAAAGGCATCCAAAACTTTATAAAGACGTTTAAAAGACCTCTTTTGTGTGTCCCGTGCCCACTGGTTAAAACATGCAATCCTTAAATTCAAAACGATAATAAATTTAAAAAATAAAAAATAAGAAATAGTTCAACTTATGCAAAAACTTCAATATTTATTTTAATCTAAGGAATTTGAAGATTATAAAAGTGCTTTTTATTTTCATATTTTTCATTATTTTGAAAACATTTACGCTAATGACGACATCAACTTCTGCACAGTGTTTTTTACACTTTTTTTCCCTTATGTTAACTCTCTAATCAAATCTTTAGCTGTACTTACTGTTTTGCCACTCTTACACAAATATCCTTTGCCGATTCTCCAAAATTTCTCAATGGGACGGAACTGTGTGCAGATTAATGGATTCAAGCTTTTTGGTATGAGTTTGAAGTCTCTCGAATTGTAACAATTTTCTTAAAATAATGACAAAAAGCAAGATTAGGCCAGAACTAACAGGGGACATCGTGGTTTCGATAAAATTGCAAAAGTCTAGCTTGCAAGTATTCTTTGATGTAAAAATCCGAGTTTAAAGTTGATGATGTGACAAAAGCTCAAGATCTCAAACCACAGTTGAATATTGCTTGCCAAAATTTAACCTTTAAAAAACTCTGAAACATTATACCTTTTAGCTTGTTCTTTGTTCGATAAGCCGGGGTTTTGATTGATGATCGTCAAATACTAATTGCTGCTTTCTTATCCTTAAAGCCACTTTTTCTTCTAGATTCTTTTGCTCGTTCGATAGATAAAGAGCTCATGTATTGTTTTATGCCCATACAAACAATAGTTTTGCTAGATTCAGATGCTTTAGCGATTGAAAGTAACGATGCAGAAGAATTGGGTAGATTGTTATGCAGACTTTTTTTTCTTTTTTTTTAACTGTTTGAATCACAATTTAATTAATAGAAACTTTTTGACTCGTTTGTTGATGTTTTTAATTAATGCTATAATTACTTAAAATAATTACGCAAAAAAAATACATTAAAAATGTGTTAGTGACAAGTTTTAAAACGAAAATCATCGTTTCAAGTTTGACGATCGCATGCTTTAATATAGTTTTAAAGACACGAATAGCCTTTGATCATTAAATCGTGCTATTCCTTAAAAAAAACACGAGAGCCGAGAGCCGCTTGATTTTTGCGGCTCCGGCTCGGCTCCATAAGCCTTGTTTACGGTATATCATGTAAAGTATCCATGTTTTGTTATTGTTAATACCTAGTAACAATTTGCTTCGCTTAACTATTAAAGTACCTAAAGATAGCCGCAACAATCGAGATAACTTCATAATATTAAGGTCCACTACCCGAAGAGTCGATTGGTTTAAAAAACAAATAAAATATTCCATGTATATATAAATTATAATACAAAATGAATAAATACAACTTAAACAAGTTTTATACCTAATATCAATCATCAGCCATCAAATATACTGCTATTATTTATAATATTGAGCAAAATCTCTTGAACGTACAAGAATATTCGTATTATTCGAAATGATCAGTGAAGGTGAAAATGAATTTATAATAGATGATGAAAATGAAAAAACTCAGAAAGGTATACATAATAAATATTTAAACAGTAGTTTTTTATAATTTAAAATTTGATAATATCTAAACAACATGTGTATAAAAAAATGTAATCAATTTCACTTCATGGAATATGTATGTGTTAAAACAGTTAAAGCCAAAAAATGAATAATAGTAACAATTCGCATCTCTTAGATGCAAATTAATAATTGTGATTTTTGGTTTTTTTATTTAGTGATTTTATTTAAATAACCGATCACTTTAGTAATATATAGTAAGTGATCATTTCAATCAAGTCTATGAATTATTGATTTAAAGACTAGTTGTTTCTTTTGCAACATTCTGGATGAATTTATGGATTAATTAAAATAACTCTGATTAGGAAATTAATGTGGGCCACTTTTGTTATTTAGTGATAGCCTTGCTCAATTTATGAAATAAATGTGGCCTACGTGTGGTATTTATACCAATTAGATGGTAGGCTAATATGACCTATAATTGTTATACTACTTAAATATTATAAATACCATAACCATACAAGACCCACATCTATATCATCCCATAAATTAAGTGTTGCTTTCACATATGGTATCAACACATGCTACAATTAAAATCTTATAGATGTAAACTTCTAACTTAAGAATAATTTTGATAATATAGATTAAAACATTTACAAGAGATGCACTAAGAACATTTCCTTTTAATGAATTACATGTGGATGGATAGCTCGTATCATTCTTGTTCAATGTTCTAATTAACTAAAGCATTAAACTAGTTGGTCAATAGTAGAGAATACTTTAAGTTAGTTGTATGACTCTTTGTAGACATTCCTTTAGTAAGCTAGCATTATCTTTAGATAAAAAGTTTCGCATTACAAAAATTACAATAATCTAGGTAGAAATAAAATTGAATTGTTAATCTAGAAGTTCTTTAATCTTCAATAAATAAACATAATTACATTAACTTATTATTTTTTTTAGGTTTTGTTTTATTTTATACATTTAAAATTCACTTAATTATTACTAACATAAATTAACTACACTTCATAAAAGTACTTGAAAATTAAGTTTGGACATAAAATAACAGCTTTTTTTGTTTGTAGTTTTCAAATAATTTGTAAAACAAGTTTGTTTATGAATCCTTTTTTTTTTTTTTTCACATATTATCTTTCTACAAAAGTAGTATTTGTAACGTATAAAACAGTTATGCTTGTTAAAAAGGCAACTAACATAAAAATACTTTATAACTAAAATAGAAATAAAAAGTTGCTTTTTAAATTTATTTTATACATCAACTGATGAATAGAACTAGGGGCAATTTTACAGAGTATCTGTATATATAGTTAAGAATATAGTCAGTTAGTTGGAATTTGACATATTTCAGTTGGCAGATTTTTAGTTTTAAGGGACCTTTTTTTTATTAAAGAAAGCAGTCATCAGTTTTTAAAGATTTTAACCAATTATTTTTTTCCGAAAAGCACTCCTGTGTAAAACAACTTCTGGTGGTAAAAACACTTTTCTAATTTTTTTTTCTTCAACAACTTAATTCTCTATCAGTATCTTTATCAGTAGGTTCATTAGAAAGAATGACTAAACATCTAAAAATATAGAAAAAATATTTCATAGGAAGTTGGGACTTGTTATAATTAATTATATAATAACTGTAGTTAATTTGCATCCAGGAAGTTACATCAATTACATTAAAATTAAAAAAATAAATATGAAAAGAATTCTTTAGAATTAAACTAATTTTAGTTTTGGTCATTTGTTTTTATAATTTTTTAAAAGGTACTTATTTTCATGTCTGCATTTAGAAACTAGTTCAGATTTTTGTTTAGTAAATTTTTTTTATCCAAATGAGTAATAATTTCTTATTTTTTCTTGTAAATATAGTATACATTTTTTAGTGATGTTATTCTAGGCAGGCACAGTTTTCAGAATAGTCCTGTTTAATTTAAAAATAATGATTTTTTCTTTTAGTTGCCAAATATTTTTTGACAGCATAGTCTCTTTTAAGTATTTTTTATGTTTAAAGGATTGTTTGTGGTTAAAATAATGTTTTTTTCCATTCATCCTTGATTAAGCCAATATTTTGTTTATCATAGTTATTTTGTGAGAGAACAATGCATTTGTAAATAATATTTTTTGATAAGAATTTGACATTCATAGGGCAGTCAATTTTTTTGTTTTCAATTACAAGTTTCAATATTTTTTTCTTTGAGAAATTCATTTTTATTAATCAATTCAAAATTGTGGCTTTTTTTAATTTTTTCAATATTTTTTGTACATCTTTAGCTTACTTCAATAGCATTTCTGTAGTATATATGTATATATGAATATATATATATATATATATATATATATATATATATATATATATATATATATATATATATATATATATATATATATATATATATATATATATACATATATATATATATATATATATATATATATATATATATATATATATATATATATATATTTATTTTAATTTAATATATAATTTATTTTAATTTTTGTATTTTTTGAAAATCATTTTCTGGTACTTCGTAAAAATAAAATTGTTTAGAAGAAAGTTGTGACAATAATGAAGAAAGAATAGTTGCTAATTTGTATAAGAAACCCTTCCTTGGTGGATTTCGACACAAAGTTACGGGTTTAATGTATCTAAATGCTTCTTCACAAACTAATACAAAGAAATATATTCATCACGGAGTAAGTAGGTGGTATGTTTTACTTCTACTATTTTTTTAAAATTAGTTCAGATTGAACATTGACACATTAGAACACATTGTGTGATATTTGTTGTTTGTTGTATTTTAAATAAGTAGCCTCTTTGACGCAGTCTTCAGGAAAAAAAAATATTGCTATTCTGTTTTAGTGCCTTATATGTTTTAATAAAAATTAAGTTTTTTAAAAATAAATAAATAATTGGAATAATAAAATAAAAATGAGTATTTTAATTGCAAAATTAACCATTTCTTATATTTCACACTTGTGTGGTATAGTCAAGTTTCTGTAATGCCATTATGAAAGGGTGGAAACAATATTTTACAATGGGAGGTCTTTTGTAACATTAACCTGTTTTGCAGATCAGGGCTGAGTATTTTTATTGTAGTTCTACCACTTAAAAGGGAATTACTCCTGGTTTATGAGCTTCTCTTATTCTTAGCCACAATTAAATTGGAGGTTTTGTATCAGAGTTTTCTTTTTACTAGGTTCAACACCAGCCCAAGCACTAGGCAACCAAAAGCTTAAATATGCAAGTTGTACTTTTGTTAAGATGTCGCTTAATTTTAATCTAGTAATTAGTTAACCAAACAACCACTTCTTAAATATGCTAAATAATATGACATAATACATGTGTATGTAATCTTACAAACTGTATTAAAATAGTATTTAAAAACATTATGTCAAATAACCAGAGCTGAATTGAATGAAAAGATTAGAAAAAAAAAATGAAAAGGCTAGGGTAGAGAAATTGCATCGGCTCCAAATAATTGTGTTATGTAAACAAAAAAACAATGTTTTTATTATATATTCTGAACAACAAATTTCAATTTTAGTCTTTCTAAATATCATTTAGAAAAGTTCAGAAAATATTTATGCAAATTACGAAGAATAAGTGAATTTTTATACTTTTTAAATTGGTTTTTAGTAAAGATAAATAACAAAAACATGTTTTTAGAGAAAGATAATTACATTAAAATTATGTTTGAAATAAGTTTTCTCTCACATTTTTAAATTTCTCTACGGCTTTAAAATCTAAAAATTAGTTAACATCTTGTTACTTATTGTTATTAATTTTTCCTGTATTGTTGTTACGTAACTCTTTCAACCGTTTTATCTCAAAAACATTGTTCTTAACCAAAAAGGCCACTGCGCAGAGAAGCAAGTTAAGTTGATACAATAAAGTAATACTTTAACTTAATAACAAATTAATACTTTAACTAATAAAAAAATAAAAACTTAAAAAAAGTGTTTATTAACTGTTAGTATGTAATCAAAAAAAAAATTTTAACGATTGCTACAAAAGCAGAAGTATATTGCATTCAAGACACTGCTAAAAATTAACAAATAAAAAAATGTTTTTATGTATTATAAAATGGTATCATTTATGTTAAATGAGATTTGAAAATATTTAGCTGGAAAGATTTGATAGAGACACTCAAACTGTTCAGTCGAAGAATCAGATTTTGCAGACATACTGTGATACCTCAACACAGATGGTAAGACATAAAAATGGAATTAATATTTCTATTTTTAAAATTTTTTAGTTAGATGTAGTTAAATAGTATTGCTTTTATATTCTTAGACAAAACCTGGTTGTTATATTGCTGAAGTAACTGATAAAATAATTATACCTGGTAAATATATTACTGCAGCTGAAAAAGAAAAAGACATGTTAGAAAAGGTATTTTAGCTACTAACAATAAAGGATATAATTATCAAACCACTAGTAAATGTTTTTAGACTTTCTTTTTCACAAAAAATCCAAATTAAAGTTATCAATTTAATAGTTATCAATTTAATATGTATAGTTTACTAAATGTTTTTTTCTTTTGAAATAAAAATATGTTTGTTTTTTATAATTTTATTATTTTATATTTTTTCTAGTTCATCCTTTTTCTAATTTAAGCTTTCTATAATTTACAATTTTTCTTAATTCATTTTTCTCCTGATTCATGCTTTTTTTTTTTTTAATTCATTCAGTTAGGCTTTTTAAAACCAAGTAAATCAGAATTAAAAAAAAACATATATTAGTTGTTTTCATGTTTACATTAAAGTAATAAATAGAAATTTTAAAATTGTGATAATTAATTTTGATTACTTCATTGTATATTATTTGTTAGGTTATACTTTTGCAATGCTACTGGCGAAGGTGGCTTGCAAAACAGCTTGTTAATAATTTGCGATCTGATCAAGAACAAAGAATTAAATGGGAAAAAGAGGTTGTACTTTTTTTCTTGAAAAAGAAAAATTATTTATTTTTATTTGTTTTCTAAAAGTTTTTGAAGAGTACAGAAAAATGTGGTAGTGAACCATCTTTTATCAGTTCAAAAATCGTTTGTTATAGTTATCAAATGTTTGAATATGTCACTGGTGACAACAAGATAAACAAAGAAAAAGTTTTTTATTTGTGGTTACTTATGATTGGCAACATAGTTCTTTATATTGCTATGCAATTTTTTACTTTTACAAATGAAAATATATTTAAAAAAAAAGAAATATTATATTGTAAAAAAAATAATTTATTTTTATAGTGTTTTTCAGAATTATTTTAAAATGATATTTCAGTATTATTTTTAAATGTTTTTTTTTTTTTAGTTTTTAATTTTGAATAATTGAATATTTTGATTTTTTTGAATAGAATTTTTTTTAATTTTATTTTGAAATAAGGTGGAAGAAAAAAAAGTGGCTGATCGAGCTGACAGGCTTCGCCAGGAATTTGAACGAAGAATGAACCCGCAAACTAACAGAGATTTTGATCTATTGTATGCGGCTTTAGAAAGTACAATATTTATTTTTGTCTTTTTCTAGAGCTAGAGTTAATTGAAAAAATAGTTCCAGTGAATTATTTTTTAAATTATGTTTCAGTAATTCTTTGCAGTAATTATTTTTAGTAATTTATTTTACTAATTCACTTCATTAATCCATTCATAGTTCTGATTATCATTTTTCAACAATTAACTCTAGTTTGAGTAATTTTGCTGGCATCAAAACCTTTTCCTTATAATCTCTCACATGGAACTTCTTAATTCACTTCCAGATAATATTATTCATCTACCTTTGTTTTATGATATATGTTTTGTGTCTGACCTAAGTCTGTACTCAGTTTTTCCTCTTTTTCTTTTAAGTTGGTTCTTGTTTTACTTTTATTTTTTAATCATGTTTAATCATGTTTAATCATGTTTTAATCTTATTCCTCTTATCACCATGCTTAATACATTGTAAGGTTGATTGGGATTCTTTTCATAATTTTCTTTGCAATTATTCTTGACTTGGTGTTTTTAATCTCTCTGCTGAAAAATTAATATCTTAGACTATCTATTGGATTTAAAGAAAAAGAGAAGCTTTTAAAAATTTTTTTAGGTTCCAAGCATGACTACTTTTTTTGCTTTTCTCCCTGTGCATTTATTCCAACATGAAATATTAATTTTTATAATGTTCTTCTGAGAACAAACCTGCAATTATGGTTACAAGAAATAAGTGCATAAGTTATTGTCTGATGCTAAAACTCATTATTCTTAGTTCACTTTATGTCTTTAAGCAACAAACTTTTGATATCTCACTTTGAATTAGTAATTAGTAAGTTGTAAGGCTATCACAATTGACATACCAAAGGTTTTTGACAAAGCCTTTCATGTTGGTTTTTTTAATAAGTTCTTTTCATATAAATCATGGTGTATAAGGAAGTATTTTAAAAATTATAGAATCTTTCCTCTTCTGTTGTAGTATTATGCTCACTTTTGAAAAAAAGAGGGAAATAAAGAATTTAATTAAATAATCTTTCTTAAAAAAATTTATTTTTTTAGTAATGTATAATTTTGGAATTCTCTCTCTTTTGAATTCTCTCTCTTTGTGTTTCCCTGATTTGTATAACTAAAGTCATCTATTAACTTCTTCTAGATTTTTATCAAAATAAGTTTCTCAGTAAATGCCTCAAATAATTTACTGCCTGCAGCCTTGTTGGCAGCAAGTTTGTGTAAATTGCAAATTGTAAAAAAAATTTTCTCTATAAGGCCCAGAGGGTTATTATAGTTAAGGTGAGTACTCTTTTTTTTATATATACCTTTCTCTAAACCTTATACTTCTGAAACCGGAACCTTAGAAAACTAGGTCAATGCACAAAGGAAAATGTTAGGTGCGATACTGAAATGTCGCTTTTGAAGTAATAATTAAGGGTTTCTTTCAGCCCTATTTTATTTTCATATTAATTATAATATATTTGCAATTACTCATTAACTGAAATTATTTAAACTCAAGTTAAAACTATGTTTATAAAATCCGTTTTGTTATTTGTTTGTTGATTTAAAGCAGGGTTGGCAAAAAAACCCAACCCAAAAAAACCCAACCCAAAAAAACCCAAAAAAACCCACCTTAAAAAAACCCAATAAAACCCAAAAAAACCCAAAATATATTTGGGTTTTTTTAAAAATGACCTATTTTACAACTGATAACTCTGATTTTAACACTTATAAATGCTTTATTATCAGCAAGTGCAACCTTAATACTGTAATTACTCATGTAAACACTGTATTTATATACATAATGGTCTTTAGAATATACCCAAAATCGATCAATCTGTTTTTGTAGCAAGTTGGTTATTTATTATTTTTTTAAAACATTTAGCAAGTTATTATAAATGTTATTGAAATATGTATTAAAACATTAAATTAGTTAAATACTTATAATAGAAATAAAAATCATTCTATTAACTAAATTTCAAGACATTACTAGTTATTTAGTATCTTTATTCTCCTCTTGAATGTCTATATTCCTTTATATTGGTATTTGATCTTTTATTTTTTAAAGCTTATGTTGTAAACTGCAAAAAAAAAAAAAAAAATACAAAGCCACAAGCGAAATACTATATATAAAAATTATTAAACTTTATTTACAGTTTAGAAATGGAAAGTTGTCAGGCAAAAAAAAAATGCTACAGTTTACTAGATTTGTCCTTAAGTGCATACAACTTTAAAACTTAAAAAAAATTAAGTTATGTGCAAGCAAGTTTGCAACATGTTTGCTCATTCAATGAGAGAACATGTTGAAAACTTGTATGCATTTCACAAGGACAAGATTTGTTGGTAAAAATGACACTCGTGCTCATCTGTCTTTTGACAGGTTTTTAATATTTTGCATCAGCTACAAGTTTACAACATGTACCACCAACAGGGGTGACTATGATCAGCAGGTTGAAAATTAACATCAGTATCAAGTTGCTAAAAGGTGAAGAAACACACACACAGTAGAGCTATATAATGTGTTACTTTGATTCAGTTTGCAATTTGCATTGCAAGACTGAGCCGGTAAAACATCTTTAAGGAAAAAAAAAAACTTGGTGGCAAAGACACTGTAATGGTTCTTAACAAATTTATTTTAGATATTTTAAGAAACAAAGTTTAGGCAAAAATCCATTTTTTACCAGTCCAGTTGATCAGGCCGATAACTTTTCCAGGAAGCTGGACAGTATAATGTTCTGATAAAAAAATGTAGTGATTAGGCTAGCAGTTTTCTTCTATGATACAAAAATGTTTAAAAAGTATTCATAGTCATCCTGATTGATAATAACTTATAAGGTTGCAACATCCTGTTGCAAACTTGTTGATTACATGTTGTAAACTTGTGCAAAATAGTTTTTGAAATGATATGTTGAACATGTTAGTAAAAAAAACTAGTTTGCAACATTTATATTGTCTTACCAACTTTGAATAACTCAATTGTCATAATTTTTACACTGATTTTTTTTAGTCAAAAATATTCTGAACATGTTTTTAATTTAGAGCAATTAATTAACATCATTTATAGTTGATGGAGTCCCTTTTTGCACTATAGATAAAATGTGCTAGTAGACTAGTAGTAAAACATTTGGCTCACAACCAGAAGGTTGGGGTTCAAATTACCTCTGCTGAAATTACTGTCTCAATCTATTTATCCACACAGCGCCTTTGTTTAAAAATTTTAGTTGTTAATGTTGTTTGTTAGTAAAAATGGTAATGTTAAGGATTGAGACAAAATATTTTTAAAAAATGAGTTGCTCCCTTGACTGAAATGGTCATTGGAGCAATAGGGAGGTGAATTTATGAAGTTAAAAAAAAAATTATTGTACTCATACAATTATAAAAATTTGGTATTTTGATCGATTTTTAAAAAAACCCAAAAAACCCATAAAACCCAAAAAAACCCAATAAAACCCAAAAAAACCCATTTGGGTTGGGTTTTTTTAAAAAACCCTGGGTTTTTTCCAACCCTGATTTAAAGTTAATTTTTAGAGGACTTTATGTTATTGTTTTTATTTCAAATTAGAATGGAGGAAAGAAGAAATATTGTCTATTGATTTAATGCATTCTGGTTCAGCTCGAAAAGCAGCTTTGATTGGCCTTTTAGAGCAGGAGTCATATCTCATTCAGTCTATTGAAAGACATCGCATAAATGCTAACAGTGAGAACTTACAAGAACACATTCTTTTGTTTTTAAAAAAAGTATGAAGTTTTAGCGTTGTTAAAATTTGTTTTTAATTTACAATTTTTTACATTATTAGTTATTAAAAGCAGGAAGAAAGAAAAAAAATGTGTAATTTTTTTTATGGTTTAAATATGATAACTTAAATGTTTTTTTAATGTTGAAATGGGATACAAGACAAAAGTTTTATATGTTGATTTTGGATGACCAATATTTTTTATTTCTTTCTCTAAATTTTTTGATCAAAGTTTTTTTTTTAACATATAAGTAGTCTTTAAGAAAATTCTATTAATTAAATTTAGTATGTTAATTTATTGTAGGCTGCAAATTTAATTTAGGCTGCAAATTTAATGTAGGTGGCAAGTTTAATGTAGGCTG